CACGTTTCGTGTTGCTTATAGTTGTTTTATTGCATCGTGTTGATAGCAAAAATCCAACACCGAACTTGGATGCATTTCTTTCGTCCGAGATTAACCCTACCTAGACCGGGCTTTTTTTGACATGGGGGGGACCGGGGGGGGGGCTCTTTTGACCCCCCCCCCTAACGAACCTCGCGAACGGTATGTCGTATGACCACCAAATTTTTAGTAGAATGGTGTACTAGTGAAAATTTATCATATCTACAATTTTATGTCGTTATGATGTAATATGACGTCATTATGACGTCATTAATGTGATTTTATTGGCCAAAACCGTCTAAATAGGTTTTTCCCTGAAACTAAATGGTATTCAACATAACTGTACCAAAAGTGTTTATGACAGAATATTATGGTGTACTAAGTCCTATGTTGCCCATAACAACACCGGTGACGTCATAAAATGACGTCATGCATATTTAAGATATCCGCCATCTTGGATCATCAATCTTGAATTTTCAAAAATAGTTTTTTTCATGATAAAGCCTAAAATACATCGTTAACATACTAAAGACCTTCATTTAAACCTTTTTGTAAAAAGAATGGAAGTATTGATGAAATATTAATGAAAATAACCTGTATATACCTGTTCTAATGATATGGTCCGCCATCTCGGATTTTGGCCAATGACGTCATCAAATTAGCATAAATTATGCATATTTAATAATAAAATTTACATAAAATTATATGGGATGTTATTAATATTAGAAACCATGAGTAACTTGACATAAAACCCATAAAATTCTATTGTTGAAACAAAAAGTACTAAATTTAGCAAAAAATGCCTGTCAGAAACCCGTTGCCATGGCAACACAATTTTTTAAATCTTATTCCATTGATAGAGAATTGTTGCCAACAATATTCTAGGAAAAGTCACCAAGTTTGGCCGTTCTACGCTAGGTGACATCAAAGTTGCCGCGGGCACTTTTAGCCCCCCCCCCCCCGGTCTAGGTAGGGTTAAGTGAAAACACGTTTAGTAATTCAGGTCCTTATAAGAAATGCCCTGCAGGAACATTTGTCCACAATGTCTGATATACAATGTTGATAAAAGTTCCGATAATTTGACGGTAGCCTGAGGCAGCGGATGTAAAATGAATTAAACTTTTTCCCTTTTTTCAGCATAAGGCCATTTTGATTTGATTATATGGATGGCATCCTCCGGGAGCCCCAAAACTGATGCGCGCGTGCGAATAAAAAAAAGTTTGGACAAAAAAAGGGTCTTTTCATTATGAAATCTACGTGGTCATGAGCGTTGAGCAAATGGCACAGGATATGGTTTGGCGAATAATCTAGTCTTCAAGTTCATTTCTTTACAATTTCGTCTTTTTTCGTTTGATTTTGGCATTTTACGACATTGGTATAGTTTTTATTAATTTTTTTGTAACTTATGTTATATTTTGCTCATTTTGCAACTGTTTTGTACGATTTACAGTATGGAAGAAAACTTTTTTTGAAACGGCCGAAAATTCATGCGCGCGCGGATGTCATCCATATCATCAAATCAACATGGCCTAACCGGCAGGTCGAATGCAAGAGATACATACACAGAGCTTGAGGCACTACTACACATGGAACTTTCAATACCCCTGATTAGGTTTTAATGGAGAAGTACGGAAAGATGATGGTACACCTTGTTTTAAGTCACGTTATTCATATCTGAGGATCAGAATGCACATGGAAATAGGAATAGAGTTTCTGTTCACGTACCACAGACAACGCCGACGTCATCCCTATGCTCACAGTCATGAATCCCCCATCCCTTGTGCGAGCAGTTAAACAGGCTACTCTCTGTCCCATCACATTGTAGGTTGTCTAGGTGGATTGGCCCTGTTCCTAGGGGTAAAAAAGTTAACGTGCTAATGTAGTCAGATCAGACGGAGTGGTTGCAATGTAAACCCTTTCTATTGAAGTATTTGCAAGCAGCATCATCATCAATACCGGTATGATCAAATGAAAGTGGTGCTTGAGACACAAAACGTACCTGTGCCTAAATAAGCATAAGAGCGCACTGTAAATACATTCGCATAGCCCAGCATCCTGCAGACAACTTCTGCATCCTTCAAGTCGAAACCGTTCTTACAAACTGTGCCCCATCTGAAACTGTCGGACGGCCGGACTTCCACACGCCCCTCGTTTGGACCGGAACCTCCGACAAGACGGATTCTGCTGGAATCTAAAAATAAGGAGAAGGTCGTTGTGTGGTTGGCAGACAAATGAAATACATTTTAGCTGATCTAATATATATTAGGTACATTGCTTAAAACAATTTACATTTGGTATTTGCAGTGCTTCAAGCACAGCACAAAATTCTGTCCATGTTCAAAATATGTTTTTGAATATTAAAAAAAAACACTTTAAAGTACAGACTTTGATGTCCAGGGCGACACAATAAAGACTAACTCCCCAGTATGGATTTTCTCATAAGCACATAACCCATAACCATACAAGATGTCAATGACTTCAAACCTTCGTCATTCCTGACTTTAGGTTGTCAGAGATGTGGTGTATATAGTTTGACTTTTATTATGCTGGTTTGTGAGCCAAAGGATGCGTGTGATACATAAGTCGGAATACAGAAAAACACGTTTCACGAATACGGAAAAAGTCACGATGCTTGATGTCATTATCGTCACTAATGGGAATGTCTTTTCGGTTTTGGAGGTCGCGGTCTACTGTTTATGCTCGCATTGGAAAAATATGTCTCTAGACAGAAGTCAACATCTGCTGGACGTTCCCCCGGCCAAACATCTGTTCCCCCACCCGGTCATCTGCCCCACCCCCTCCGCCGGTCATCTGTTACTTCCAATACTGAATCTACATTCGAAGCTAACTAAATGTCAAACCTATAAGTGCCATTACAATACCTTAGGAAGCCACTAGAATGCCCAGATTCGAACTTAACATTTTTATCCACACTACAAGCTACCTACTAAAAATGTAAATAAAAAAAAAACATTAGCCAAAAAGGAAAAAAAAAACATCCACAACATCAAACGTTATGACCAAAACGGCAAAAGGGCTAAACGTTCTAGACAACACTGAGTAAATTGGGACTTACCCAAATTTTCGACCGACTCCGTCAGCCTTGTTCACGGCTGCAGCTGCAGCTTCCGGGACTTTGGGTCCCAAGCCCCAATTTACTCAGTGTTGGCTAGAACGTTTAGCCCTTTTGGTCATAATGAAGTATAGCAACACAGATGAACTTTTATGCTTAAACATCAAAAGGTATCCCTTCTAGTCACATTCCGTCATAACGGTTACCACAACAGCTCTAAAAAAGCAGCTATTTCGCTGAAAACCACACCAGATACTTATTATGCTAGCACCTATGTTGCTATTTCCCACTCATAAATAAAGACCATAGCATGTCCACAGCACGAGATATCATACCATGTTCCACGCTGCAGTGTGGTACCTCACAAAAACTCCAGAGTACCCAAAATAGACCCTGACCTTCCTTTTCCTACCTACCAATATCATAAAGATACAGGCACTGCGCTCCATGTTATAACCGGTTACAGAATCAGCAACCCTGATGTCTATTTTGGCTTGGCTTCGTATCCGAAGATTGTCAGGGGCCCTTCTCTCTCCTGCTGCACACCCGCTGGTGACTGACAAGTCCGATGCGTGACCGGCATACTCGGCCACAGTGGCTCCAGGTAAGTGACGACTGACGAGTCTGGTGTTCTTCCTCTTACTGCGTTTATCTTCGAGGGCAGTTCTGCGTCTCCTCTCGAAGGCAGAGACTGAGTCGTGAACATTAATCCGCCAAGCAGCTCGGTCTGTGACAAGAACTGACCACTGACGATTCTCGATGTTGCACGAAGACAGAGATTTCTTTAAACTGTCCTTTAACCTCTTCTTTGGTGCTCCTCTGTTCCGGTGCCCGGTGGAGAGTTCGCCATAGAGGACAATCTTGGGCAAACGATGGTCCTCCATTCTAGAGACGTGCCCTGCCCATCGCAACTGTGTATTCACTGCAACATGGCCTCGATGCTGAGGATCCCCGCTCGCTCCAGCACCTCAACATTTGTGACGTAATCACTCTAGTGGATTTAAGGATGGAACGGAGACAACGCCGGTGGAAACGTTCTAGAAGACGTAGGTGGTGTCTGTAGGTAACCCACGACTCTAAACCGTACAGAAAGGTAGTCAGTACCATGGCTTTGTAGACGATGATTTTGGTGTCTTTTTTCAGATGCTTGCTCTTCCAGACACGACTGTGGAGTCTTCCAAAAGCACTATTGGCCTTTGCGAGTCTGTTTTCGACCTCCTTGTCAATCTTTGCGTCAGGTGTGATGGTGCTCCCCAGGTAAGTAAACTGATGTACAGCCTTCAGTGGTTTCTCACCAATCTTGATGCAGGGTGGACGGTACTCCTTTCGGGGGGCAGGCTGTTGAAGAACCTCTGTCTTCTTCAGGCTAACTTCGAGACCGAAGAATTTGGATTGGACACGCTGCATGACGAACTCAATGTAGGCTAATCTCCAAGCAAATCTTTCGCTGGCAAGACAGTATTCATTGGCCAGAGGAGTGTCCATTAGCCACCGAAGATCTGCCTGCAGTCGAAGCGTCAAAGGCTATTAACACCTAGTTGTTGCCTGATCAAAATGTTTTTGCCAAGTAGTTTATTGCCCTGACCACCAGGCAAGGCTCTTGCCCTCCTAGTGGGCCAGCTGGTTGAGCATTACAGGAAGTCTCTGTAAGGTTCCCCTCGCCAACTGTTATTTTGGACAGTTTAACTAAAGGAGAAGAAGGTCCAACATATGTTTTGTAATATCTGCGGTTTTGAACCACAAGGACCCCAGTTATTGACATTTCTATGTTAGAGCCAACATACTTTAGTACCAGCATACAGTATTATCTGGACGAGGTTAGGTGAGAACTCCCACTGAGATGTGCGCCAGTGAATGCATGTGTCCCAGATTTAAGCCATAAACCGCTTGTAAAAATCTTAGCACGACAAATTTTTGATATCTGTTAATAGGGGCACGAGGAGTGGCAGCAACACCATTTTTAAAAGAAGTGCTCCTCCCTGTTCGAGTGCAGGCAGATCTTCGGTGGCTAATGGACACTCCTCTGGCCAATGGATACTGTCTTGCCACCGAAAGATCTGCTTGGAGATTAGGTGTGGGCTACAAGAGCAGCATCGTCAGATCCCCTGTATTCTCAAACCTTCCATCGCGCAATGGTTCACCTTTCTTACCCTACCTTGCTACACAGCAACTGGCATGTGTGGGTGATTGATATCTTCCCCCTCCCATAGTGCATAGCGGCTCGGGATAGTACCAAATCTCGCGCACTATGTCCTCTGTTCGGCTTAAGATATGGGTGGTAAAAGACGGGGCTCTACCCTAATACCCTTATTTACGCTCCTCAATCTCATATTCTATACCCCAATACTCACCTGTACTCACCAACACTTACCCCACTTCCCACAATACTTACTCTTCTTCCTCTTCGGGGGACAGCCCAGACGCTCCAAGATCATCCACAGGCTCTTCCTGCTCACAGTATCAAACGCCTTTGACAGATCTACGAAGTTGATGTACAGTCCTTTATTCTGTTCTCGGCATTTTTCCTGGAGCTGCCTGAGCATAAAGACCATGTCGGTGGTACCCCTGTTGGCTCGGAAGCCGCACTGGCTCTCTGAGAGGTGGTGTTCTGCAACAGTAGGAACCAGTCTGTTGAGGAGAACTCTTGCCAGGATTTTACCTGCGATTGAAATGAGAGTTATCCCCTTGTAGTTCGAGCAGTCAGACTTTTTCCCTTTGTTCTTGTATAAGGTGACGATGACAGCGTCTCGGAGGTCCTTGGGAAGCTTTCCCTGTTCCCAGCAGCACACAAAGAGTTCATGGAGTTTGGAGTGCAATGCTGCGCCTCCGTGCTTCCAGATTTCTGGAGGTATGCCATCGACACCTGCTGCTTTTCCACTTTTCTGCTTTCTGTTTTTTCGTGGCTTTGATGACCTCTTCGAGGGTCAGCGCTAAATCCAGGTCTCCTTTGTTGGTTGAAGTGGTATAAGCTGGAGCGCAGAGTCAACAACAGTACGATTGGCGCTGAAGAGAATTTGGAAGTGTTCTGTCCAGCGGTTCAAGATTTACGCCTTGTCCGTGAGGAGAGTCTGGCCGTCGGTGCTGCGCAAAGGAGCTACTACTTGGTGAGTGGGGCCGTAGACCGCCTTTAGGGCTTCGTACAAGCCCCTTTAGTCACCGATATCGGCGCAAAGCTGTGTTGTCTCAGCAAGATGGGTCCACCAGGTGTTCTGCATGGTTCGTAAACTGCGCTGAAGTTTGCTGCATGGCAGCTTTCTTTGCAGGGCAGGAAGGCTGTGCGAGATGTGCCTGGTGAGCTGCTCTCTTGTTTGCCAGTAGTTGTTGGATTTCTTGGTCATTTTCGTCGAACTAGTCTTTGCTCTTCCTCCCAGAGAAACCTAAGACTTCCTCCGAGAACTTCAGGACGGCATTTTTCAGTTGAGCCCAGAGTGTTTCTGGGCAGGAGTCTGTAGGGCAGTCCAAACCTTCCAGCTTAGACTGAAGGTGGGATTGGAGGTTAGCCTTCACTACATTTGGAGTTTCTTCCTAGGAGGACCTCCGCGTTTAGATTTTTCCTTGACGTGAAGGGTTAGTTTGCAATGTACCAGGCGGTGGTCTGTGTGGCATTCTGCACTCGGCATCACTCTAGTGTGCAAGACATCCCGCAGGTCTCGTTGGCGGACAAGGATGTTGTCTATGAGGTGCCAATGCTTTGACCGGGGATGCATCCAGGTTGTCCTGAGACTGTCTTTCTGTTGAAAGACGGTGTTTGTGATGGCTAACTGCAGCTCGGTGCAGAATTCCAGCAGGAGACGCCCGTTGTCGTTGGAGTCCTAACGCCATGCTTTCCGAGGGAACATTTCCATGCTACTGAGTCTCGGCCCACTCTGGTGTTAAAATCCCCAAGGGCAATAACCTTGTCACCTGCAGGGGTGTTCCGCACTAGGCTGCGCAAGTCGGTGTAAAACCTGTCCTTGTTGGTTGGGTCTGCTTGGAGAGTCGCTAAAGAGGGTAACGTGTTTCTTTGTCAGAGGCAGGCGCATGCAGATGATGCGGTCAGAATGACCTGTTGGTAAGTTCTCCATTTTTTAGGCTATGGTGTTCTCAATCATGAAGCCCACTCCTGAAAGACGTAGCTCTGGCTGTGGCTTGCCTGACCAGTAGAGGGTGTAGCCTGCACCCTGCTCCTTGAGGCTACCGACGTCTGGATGTCGAACTTCACTGAGAGTAGCAATGTCGATATTTAGGCGGCTGAGCTCGTGTGCAACCAGGGCAGATCGGCGTTGAGGGCGGTTATCGTCCGTGTAGTCTAGCATGGTCCTAATATTCCAACATGCTAGTATGGGTCCTGTCATACCTTTATGGGCAAGTATGGAGCCTCTGTTTCTTGTCTTTGTTCGACCGCTTGAGAAGATGCCCGTTGGCCGCGGCTAGCCAACTGGGTAGGTTGAAGATGAGCTTTGTTTGGACCATCTTTTATAGGTCCGCCTCCGTGCTCCGGAGCGAGCAGTGCTTCCCTCAATAGACTGCTCGGTCATTCAGGTTGCTGCCGAATGGTGTTGTCATCTTCAGTCACACGACCGATACCCTGAACCGCCTGCATGCAGGATTGGAACTGTGGC